GCTTTCAGATGACACCACTCAATTTTGGTGCTGATACGGGAAAGTTTGTGGTAGGAGTTTGTTACAGTGTCAAACATGTCATTTCCTGTGGCCATTAGGTGGCGCTATAACTGTAACTGGATATCGGCACGTAAACCTGATCAGGTCAGGACTGTTATTAAATGTGGGAATTTTGAGGCAGATCGGATAATGCATGCTTGAGTTATAATGACTTCCGGTTTTGTGGCGAATCGTCAAAGTTTGCGGGGCAGCCACGGACACGCCCATCGACAAAAACTATAAAGCTTCGCAATTTAACATCGCCAAGGCCTTTAGATGACAAAACCCAATTTTGGTGTCGATAGCATAAAATCCCTAGGAGGAGTTCGTTAAGATAGAACGCCTGGAAATGGCAAAAATGCTACTTATTTGCAGCAGGAAGTTAAAAATATTCGACTTCCTGTTGGGTTTGAGATATGCCTCCAAGAGACTTTTTCGTATGTTTTGGCGTGTTTGAGGTGTGTGCCAATTTTCGTGCATGTGCGTAATTCGTAGATCAGGGGCTCGTCCGTTTAATTTTTATAGGTGGCGCTGTCGAGTCATTTTGCCACGCCCACTTCAATATTGTTATGTGGATGTGTTCAGGGACGGACTTTTATCAACCATATGAAGTTTCAGGCTGATCGGACTTTGTGTGGTTGAGTTATGAGGACTTCCTGTTCCATGGCGAAGCATTGAGGTTTGTCATGCCGCCACGGACACGCCCCTCTGCGAAAACTCTAGATCTTCACAATATATCACCCATAGAGCTTTCAGATAACACAACCCAAATTTGGTGCTGATACCATAAAATTTGTGGGAGGAGTTTGTTACAGTGTAAAACATGTCATTTCCTGTGGCCAGCAGGTGGCGCTATAACTATATCTGGATATAGGCATGTAAACGTGTTCAGGTCAGGACTCTTATCAAACGTGTGAATTTTGAGGCAGATCTGATAATGCATGCCTGAGTTATAATGACTTCCTGTTTTGTGGCGAATCATCAAAGTTTGCGAGGCCGCCACGGACACGCCCATCGACGAAAACTCTAAAGCTTCGCAATTTAACATCGCCAAGGCCTTTAGATGACAAAACCCATTTTTGGTGTCGATCGGATAAAATCCCTAGGAGGAGTTCGTTAAAATACAACGCCTGGAAATGGCAAAAATGCCACTTTTTCGCCGCAGGAAGTCAAAAATATCTGACTTCCTGTTGGGTTTGAGATATGGCTCCAAGAGACTTTTTCGTATGTTTTGGCATGTTTGAGGTGTGTGCCAATTTTCGTGCATGTGCGTGATTCGTGGATCGGGGGCTCGTCCGTTTAATTTTTCTAGGTGGCGCTGTCGAGTCATTTTGCCACGCCCACTTCCGAAGCCCATAATAAACGTAAATTTTCGCCACTTCTGAGGCATGTGCAAAGTTGCGTGAGTTTTCGGGCATGTTTAGCCCCTCAAAACCGCGATTCATTCCGGAGGAGAATAATAATAATAATAATAATAATAATAATAATAATAAACGGAGCAATTCCAATAGGGCCTACGCACCGTTTCGGTGCTCGGTCCCTAATAATAAACGGAGCAATTCCAATAGGGCCTACGCACCGTTTCGGTGCTCGGTCCCTAATAATTAAAGCTGCAAGCAGCGATGATAGGGACCTCGCACCCGGGCTCACCGGCGCCCGGTGGCCTCAGGATGACAGAGAACAGTGAACAATAACAATTTAAGCCGATTTATATAAAAAAAACCTGAGAAATCCACAGATTTATGCCAAACTTCCTCCTGTCAGCAGGTGGCACTATGACTGTGACTCAGTATTGTCATGTAGATGTCTTTAGGAGAATAATTTTATCAACCATGTGAAGTTTCAAGCAGTTCTGACATTGTGTGGCTGAGTTATAAGCCAAACTACCTTCTGCCAGCAGGTGGTGCTATAACTGACTCAATATTGTTATGTAGATGTGTTCAGGAGAAGACTTTTATCAACCATGTGAAGTTTCAGGCTGATTGGACATTGTGTAGCTGAGTTATAAGCAAAACTACCTTCTGTCACTAGGTGGCACTATGACTGACTCAATATTGGCATTTAGATGTCTTCAGGAGAGGAATTTAATCAACCATGTGAAGTTTCAGGCAGATCAGACATTGTGTGGTTGAGTTATAAGGACTTCCTTTTTCATGGCGAAGCGTTGAGGTTTGTCATGCCACCACATACACGCCCCTCTGCAAAAACTCTAGATCTTCACAATATATCATCGCTTGAGCTGTCAGATACAAAACTAACCAAATTTGGTGCTGATATGAAAAAATTTGTGGGATGAGTTTATTACTTTGTAAATCATGACATTTTCTGTGGCCAGCAGGTGGCGCTATAACTGTATCTGGATATCGGCATGTAAACTTGTTCTGGTCTGGACTTATATTAAACATGTGGATTTTGAGGCAGATCTGATAATGCATATTTGAGTTATAATGACTTCCGGTTTTGTGGCGAATCGTTAAAGTTTGCGAGGCCGCCACGGACACGCCCATCGACAAAACCTCTAAAGCATCGCAATTTAACATCGCCAAGGCCTTTAGATGACAAAACCCAATTTTGGTGTTGATCGGATAAAATCCCTAGAAGGAGTTCGTTAAGATACAAAGCCTGGAAATGGCAAAAATGCCACTTATTTGCCGCAGGAAGTTAAAAATATCCGACTTCCTGTTGGGTTTGAGATATGGCTCCAAGAGACTTTTTCGTATGTTTTGGCGTGTTTAAGGTGTGTGCCATTTTTCATGCATGTGCGTGATTCGTAGATCAGGGGCTCGTCCGTTTAATTTTTATAGGTGGCGCTGTCGAGTCATTTTGCCACGCCCACTTCATTATTGTTATGAGGATGTGTTCAGGAGAGGACTTTTATCAACCATGTGAAGTTTCAGGCAGATCGGACATTGTGTGCTTGAGTAATAAGGACTTCCTGTTCCATGGCGAAGCGTTGAGGTTTGTCATGCCGCCACGGACACGCCCCTCTGCGAAAACTCTAGATCTTCACAATATATCATCGCTAGGGCTTTCAGATAACACAACCCAAATTTGGTGCTGATACGAAAAAATTTGTGGGAGGAGATTGTTACGATGTAAAACATGTCATTTCCTGTGGCCAGCAGGTGGCGCTATAACTGTATTTGGATATCGGCACGTAAACGTGTTCAGGTCAGGACTCTTATCAAACGTGTGAATTTTGAGGCAGATCGGATAATGCATGCCTGAGTTATAATGACTTCCTGTTTTGTGGCGAATCATCAAAGTTTGCGAGGCCGCCACGGACACGCCCATCGACGAAAACTCTAAAGCTTCGCAATTTAACATCGCCAAGGCCTTTAGATGACAAAAGCCAATTTTGGTGTCGATCGGATAAAATCCCTAGGAGGAGTTCGTTAAAATACAACGCCTGGAAATGGCAAAAACGCCACTTTTTCGCCGCAGGAAGTCAAAAATATCCGACTTCCTGTTGGGTTTCAGATATGACTCCAAGAGACTTTTTCGTATGTTTTGGCGTGTTTGAGGTGTGTGCCAATTTTCGTGCATGTGCGTGATTCGTGCATCGGGGGCTCGTCCGTTTAATTTTTCTAGGTGGCGCTGTCGAGTCATTTTGCCACGCCCACTTCCGAAGCCCATAACAAACGTAAATTTTCGCCACTTCTGAGGCGTGTGCAAAGTTGCGTGAGTTTTCGGGCATGGTAAGGCCCTCAAAATCGCGATTCATTCCGGAAAAGAATAATAATAATAAACGGAGCAATTCCAATAGGGCCTTGCACCGTTCGGTGCTCGGTCCCTAATAAACGGAGCAATTCCAATAGGGCCTTGCACCGTTCGGTGCTCGGTCCCTAATAAACGGAGCAATTCCAATAGGGCCTACGCACCGTTTCGGTGCTCGGTCCCTAATTAAATATTTAACAACAATGAGCTTTAAACAACTTATCGACTTAATCACAGAGGTTTTTCCATATTAAAAGAAATGTGTTTTCTTTTTAAACATTTATTTAAATGTATTTTAAAATACACAAAAAAAGCAAACATCTGTTTTATAAATAGAAATTTTTGAATTTATCTAAAATGTTAAACATATTTCACATACATTTTATATTTTTAAACATTTTAAATATGTTTACTTAATTATTTTCTAAAGAAATTTTTCATTTAATTTCTATAACAATAAAAGCAAGAAAAATCTTTTTTTTTTCAAATGTTCTTCTTTATTATGCTTTTTAAAAATTGCATTTTAAATTCATTATTTGAATATAGGACTATTTTAAATTTTATTTTGGAACAATTATTTTAAAATGACAATTTAATATTGTGCTCTATACAAAGTTTTTATAATAAATTTCTGACTGAGATGTCTGTTATTTCCACTGCTATTTATGTAATAGGCATTTATAAAGTGCATTTATTCTGTATGGCCATAACAATCATGGGGGGGGGGATCTCTCCACACCACCACCATTTAGGAGAACTCTTAGTGGTAGGATAAAATGTTTTGTGAATACAGGCCCTAGACTATTTTAGATTTTTTTTTGTTTTTTTTGTTTTTTTCTATTTTAGATTGGTTAAAGACCTCCCACAGTCCATCTGATATTTTACAGCAACCTATCACAGTTCATTCTGTTGGGAATTAAAGGTGTACAATTTTATGTCCCTACAAAAAAAGACCAATGTGAAAACTCCTTGCATATAGTTTAAATAAATAGTATGTTCTTTTGTACACTAAATTTGTAAAACAGTATTTACCATTGCAAGCGATAATCATCAGTTACAAAACCGTTTTTTTCATATGAGGGGGGATTGCCATCATAATGGATTCGTTTAAAAAAAGTGCAAAACAAATGTCTCATTCAACCAATAACTTGAAGAACTTGAAATGTGCTCAGGCATTCATTTAGCGGTCTGTGGGTGTAATGTCTGAGGCTGAGACAAACAAGTTCACATGCACACAAACTTACTTCGACTGCCATAAAGGAGAGTGTGTGCATACCAAAGGAAAACCCCAGCAGTACGCATATGATGGTGAGCCCCCCAGAGGACACAAACAAACACATCAACACCAACAACAAATGCATATGGCTTCCCAGTGCCGTGCTGGAGGGGGAAGATGAGAGCTATAAAATACAAACAAACAACATCATAGTCAAATGATGGCTACAGATTATACAATAAATTACTCTAAGACTGTTTTCATTCATGATGTTGTTGTTGTTGCAGGAGTAAAACCATTCAACATTACTGTCCAATTGACCACTAACATGGGAAAAACACAGCATAATTTTGTGTAATGATGAAACTAAGTTGAGAAGTTGTCTAGTAAACAGACTAGAGTTCTAGGGCTCTAATGCTATTTATAATGTCCAACCTGAAATTGATATGGACTTTGGTGGTGGTCACATGGCAGGTCATCTGTGTTTTGCACAGGATTTTCAGTATTAGGTATCTGGACATCCACTGCAAATAATATATTTACTTACAAACTCAAAACGATCTTTGCAGAGCTGTGCCAACAGCTGGAGAAAAAGAAGAGCAGAGAAGCACAGACACCACATGGCCATCTCTCTTTCTGTCCGTACATTCAGCACACCAAACAGAAAGATCAGCTTGTTGAATAGAAAGTTCCAGGTTTTGTCCTTGAGGTTCTAATAGCAGGATTGCCAAAAGCCAAAATGAAATCGAACGAACACAACAGTTCATTAGGGATGATGAGTTACTATCTGTGGGTAATCAGAAATACATTTAAACATAATTATCAGGCCCGTAGCCAGGGGGGTTGGGGTGGTTCAAAAGACCCACCCCTCACTGACAACAGTCCAAAATTTGTGTCATACATGAGCTCATTTGTAGTATATTGATTGCTATGCCTTCATCAATTTTGCAAAAAAAAAAAAAGAAACACATTGAAAAAGGCTTTAAGACCAAGCAGAATCGTCTGGCCAATGTAAATAATTATTTTTCATGCTGAGTCCAACATTCATCTGTGCAAGAAAACATCTAATCTGATCTAATCTTGGCTATTATTGTAATGCTCTACATTATTAAAATGTTTGAACTTTTTTATTATTCAAAGGGCCTAATTTTGACTGAGAAAAGTTGAATGTGCATGCCAGCTTGTTATTTGGCGAACAAATGACAACAGACAACAGTTTTTAATTTTAAACTTTAACAGATGCTTATTATTTTTCTATTGATATACTTATTAATTTTCTTTTCAGCTTAGTCCCTTTATTAATCCAGGGTCACCACAGTGGAATGAACCACCAACTTATCCAGCACATGGTTTAAGCAGCGGATGCCCTTCCAGCTAGGAAACATCCATACACACTCATTCACACACATACACTACTGACAATTTAGCCTAACCAATTCCCCTATACCACATGTCCCTGGACTTGTGAGGGAAATCAGAGCACCCGGAGGAATCCCACACGAACACGGGGAGGACACCACACAGAAACGCCAACTGACCCAGCCGAGGCTCGAACCAGTGACCTTCTTGCTATGAGGCAAACGTGCTTCCCAAAGCACCACTGCATTGCCTGTTTTTCTAACGATGTATAAGTGATAAATTTGTATTTAATAAAAAAAATCTTTATTCCAAATATTTAGGAAATATTTTTGGTACATCAAAAAGTGTGGTTTTGACGACAGGGTAATCCAGATAAAAATAGTGCTTAAAATTTCACTATAATGCAGTATTTAATCATAAATAATTGCAAAAAGATATACTTTTTGAGAAAAAAGAAATACCCCTTTCACCAGGATGGCTACGGACCTGTTTATGTCGTTGATGTTCGTTGCATGGATTTTACCTGCTTTTCATTGATTCTGAGATCACCAAACACAACAAGTTGGATACATTTTCCCATAAGCAGGAGAAAACAGCACAGTGTATTCACAAGGACCTGAAGAGAATAAAGCAATATTGGCTATTACTACAGTAGCGGCACTTATTTCATATAAGAGGAATATACTGTATCAAATCTAGATTTCAGTACAGGTGCCACATTCTTGGACATTTAATCTCACCATTTATTCCATTTATAAAGAAAAAATGTGAAAAAAGTCATGCTTAAAATGTAAATCGATGTTCCCTTCAGAAATTTCCCTTGCAAATTGAAAAGTTGAATTATCTCAATTGATATACTCTAAAATATTACAAATTGTCATAGAAAAAAGACTTGTTAATTAAAATTTAGAGGCAACAAACATTAATTTTATTTAAAAGAAATAGCAAACATTGATTTTTAACATTGCTATTAAGACTTCATTTATGCAAATAAATAAAGAAATTAATGAATGTAATTATTGCAAGAACAAACAGAATTAAAACTGAATTAAAACCGAGTTTTAGTCATTTTACCAGTATATTTTAGGCATAATATACTGTAGGTCCACGTGTTGACTCACTGACCCATATAACTTATGCTACTCCTGGCTCATGTAAGAATTGGACCACTTACCCACATGCATAAGCTCCCTGTAGTGTGACACCACAAACCAGTTGAATATAATTCTTCGTTGTTGACATTGTCATCGTCTGTCCTGCCGGAGGGTGAGTCCTGAGAGAGATTTTTCTCAATAAGCAAATCTTTGTCCTCGTCATCGTACAACGAGTAGATGCATCCTGTCAGTAAACATGCACTGAACGCTGTGTACGCCTGAGTGCAAGGCCAGGACAACACATCCATAACTGTGTTTTTTTTTCTGTCTATATAACTTATCAAATCTATCAGATACTTGAAGACGTTAATATTTAATTTCAATCGTTTTAGCACTGCAGAAACTAATCTTTTACTTCAAGGCGAGCCTTAGCGGTGTCACTGAAGAGGGCGTAAACAAGACTGATTTACCTCCAAAACAGATGTCGAACATACTCATTAAAATCAACTGAAATGGCGTTATTTTATGAAAATTAAGGATACATGGGAATGTATTTTTATATTGAACTTGAAAAAAAATTAAAATTTCAGATTTCTTTCAACTCTGGTTTCTTTTTTTTAAATCAGCGTTATTTATATTAAATGCAAACAGTAAATCAACTTCTGGGTATTCTCTTAAAAATTGAGAAGTACGTTAACATTTACTGAATTTGTATAATTTAGAGATCTGTTCTACAAAACGCCACAAGGTGGTGCAATTGAGTCAACAATGAGACTCGTTGAAAGTTGTCTGACTTGTTATGAGAATGTCTCAACATTGCCATATTTGTTAAGTGCTATAAATCGTTCATAGCATGTTCAGCATTTACATGTGCAAGACACAAAAGCTAAGAGGGGATCTAGTCCCGTGTTTCTAGAGCAGAGATGCCCATACCTTTTCTTATGAAAGGCCAAAAACCAAACTTGATTGAGGCTACCGGCCGACGGTAAATATAGTAGCCAATGGGTAATTTCCTAATTTATTTGATAATTGATAATATTTAAAAATAATGAGAAAACATTGCTTTATATATATATATATATATATATATATATATATATATATATATATAAAGAGAGAGAGAGAGAGAGAGAGAGAGAGAGAGAGAGTATACATATATATTACATTCTACAATAAACTTAGAATAAAAACAAAAACAAACAGTATTCACAGTTTGAAAATCAGATTTATTTACAACATTTAATTAAAGCATTTAATTCAGTTTCTTTTTTTTTCTTTTTTTTGTAGCTCAGCAATAAACCTTGCCCATAGGCTCTAATTTGGGCATGGGTTAAGTGGATGACTATTCTCAGAGATGTATTAAAATTGTATTACAATTCCAAATAACATGTATCTAAAATATTTTAAAATGTCTGGTTGTAAATTACACAGTAGCGATTTATTATTTTATTTTTGATTAATTTATTTATAGACTATATTCTATATTTTATTCTATTTCTTATTTTTTATATATAATTGTAGCTTATTATATCAATTTTATATTAACACTTTACAGTGTCTAAGAGAGCTGAACATGATGCAATCAAATAATGATCACAAATTCTCAATGCAATAGAATATAAAATGGGCTGTAAATGTCTATAGCCACAATGTAACTTTAATTGGCTACACAACTGCAAAACCTTTTTTTTTAAACACTGTAATGGGAATCTACAGGCCTAAATTGATCAAACTGCAACACTTGAAAAGAGCAGCACTTAAAAGTATGTTTTTGGTGTTTTCTTTACATTATCAGGCTTATAGTCAGCCTAGTGAAAGGGGTCGTTCTTTTTTCTCATATAGTGGACCTTTTTGCAGTTGTTCGACTAATATTCTATTTAATTAGGAGATTTAAATACTGCATTTTAGTGACATTTTAAATACATTTTTTTTTTGGATTAGCTTGTCGGATGGTCACACTTTTTCATGTACACTAAAAAGGTTTTCTAAAGATTTGTAATAAAGAATTATGTCGAGGCTATTATTTTTAAGCTACTTTATAATACAGCACTAGGGGGGAAATAGCAGTCTGTTTAAATTTTACATTTAAAACTGTGGCCTATTTTCATTTTAGTCAAACGACAAACTGACCAGCACATTCAACTTTTCTCAGTCTCAGAATTTGACCATTCGAATTACAAAATAAATAAATAAATAAACATAATGATAATGTAAAGCTTCACCATTTTTCTAGCTTCTCTTGTAAAAAAAAAAAAAAAAAGTACATTTGAAAATTCATGGATAACAACAATAGCCAAATATGTATTAATATGGGCCATTTTGGTGCTTCACAACTTTTTATTAGTCATTTTTTCTTTCAGGAATTAGGTCCAAGAATTAGAATAAAAGTTACATTAAAAATGTTTTCTCTGGGTCTCTGTATTTTCAATGGGTTATTTTGATAACTTGTAATGGCATAACAGTCAAAACAGGACAAATGAGGGGACAAATATTGGACCTTTGTCAGACTTGAAAAAAAATGAATATAAATTCTTTATCAAAAAGTTTTTTTCTTTTTTTTCTTTTTTGTGTGTAGTGTCTCGCATAAACACTTGAAGTTATTATGATCACATATAATGCAGCTCTGTTATGAGCGCAAGCATTTCGCATATAATATTTCACTATAATAGTTTCTCCCCCTAGAGGCGCTTACGCCGCGCGCGCTGCTGGGACAGGGCTGTTTGAAAGCGCAAAGCAGACAGGCATTCGCCCGCATGTGCGGCACATTATATCAACAGCGCCAGTCAAGCCTTTCGGGCTCTGCAATTCATGTTAACAGGCAATTAATCAGCCGGTTGATTACAGCACAGAAGTTGACTAAAGGCGATTGCGACGCTGCTGTGCAATGCCATTCATCACCGCGTGACAGCAGCAACAAAGGCTCGAGCTGGAATGGAGCGAGATGTTTTTGATTAAACGCTTCCAAGGAGATGAACCAAACAAACGTTGCCATGAACGAGTGTGTTTGGTTATAAACACACAGAGGGCAGGGGAGGCAGCGGGAGCAGGTGCCGGGCCGGGTTGAGCCGCTGTGTTTGTGTGTGGTGCAGCGGTTGACAGGGCAACAAGGGGACCGGCGGCTGCGTCCTGTCTAGTGTGTCCCCCGGGGGAGATCGCGAATGGACAAATGGACACGCGCTGTGCGTAATGCTTATTATAACTGTAAACAACGCAGCAGAAGGTCGCGCTTTTAACCTTGTTGTAGGGTTTTGGTTTTATTTTATCGTTATCACAAGTTTCCTGCAATAATAAAATTAGTAGCATATGTATTTTTTCGAGGCGTCCATGGTTACACAGTGGTTTTGTGAGGTGAGAAATGCACACAGAGAACTTCATTTAATGGCATGAATGATGAAACCTTAACAAACCCAGGCATTCCATCTTTATTATTTCAAAAGAATACATCATTGATTAATTGTATATGTGGATAACAACATGCAAATCTCTAATACAAATCCAGAGATACCAACCCAGACACCAGTGTAGATAATATATTTTAATAATACTAACTATATATATATATATATATATATATATATATATATATATATATATATATATATATATATATATATATATAGTAATAATAACAATACATGCATCCCCAATTTAGAGACCCATCGGATATTAACAAGATGCATATGTTAAAACATGCAGTAGAATGTGAAATTATATCTTTTAAAAATAATTATAGTAATTATGATGCATGGATTTCTCTGGAACAATGTTTTGTGTGTTGTCTGTGTCCATTTTGTGCATTGCAATTTGCTAGAATAATTTTACAGCAAGAAAAGTCTGTTTATGAATTTTATTTGTTATATAAAATAGACCAAAATACAAAACAAAATGTCAAATATAACACACCAAAATATGATTAGTAATGTTTTTTTATACAAAGACACTTTCCAGTTTAAGTAACACAGTAAGCTGTAACATTGCATTTTTGGAGATATTTTTGCAAACAACAGAACAGAAGGGTAGATGATACACAATAAAGCTGGTTGACCATTTAGGAAATATACATTGACAAATGAATTTTGGCAGTGAATATTGTTAGTTAATGTAATGACAGCAATTCAGTAAGAGCATTCATTACACAGGCTGTAATAATGCAAATCTCTTAAAAAGCATCCTGTGCTTGCATTATGATGTTCATATGCACATTTCTTGTAGCTTTTGAACAAAAACATACACGACAAAAACACCAGTTATCTGTTTCCCCCCCAACAGAGCATCTTTATGCTTGCTTTTTGAGATTTTCACCTGATTTTTTTCTTACAGCAGGGGCCGGTCACTGCATGAAAGGAGTCAAACCAGTTCTAACCGGTTCCTTTCACCCTTCTGTCAACTTTCTAAAGAAAACCGACTGTAATACTATGTTCTTTATCCTTGAAGACAAACATTTACAACACTTCTTGCTTTACACTGCATAGTGGCTGTGTGATGTTACAGGTCACAGTTCAAGTTTGGCTTTGGTCCAGACCTAAGTGCTGCTCAAGATGGAGCTCGGACATGGAGACTTTACTTGGCCTTCGTCTTCTCATCGTACTTTCCTGCGTTCTTGTATGCTCCTACATAACCCGTGTGCTCCACGATTTCCTCTCGGCCACCTTTACCTTTGCCTTTCCCGGTCTCATCAAAGCGCTCCTTGTGTGAGCCCGTATATTTTGATGTGTCGGTTAGTCTGTCCACAGCGGCAGTTTTTGCCACTTTCTAGGATGATTGAACAAAGAAACAAAAATAAATAAATTAAGAGTGAATTCTGGTCAGATCAAAGTTGGAGAACTATATACAGTATACACCACTGAGATGTAATTACAAAATCAAATTCTAAAACATTAAGCGTTATCACATTTTAGATTGATTAATTGTGTTTTTTCATTATTCATTTTGAATTTCTTTCTCTTTTCTTTTTTCACATATGGCCACAAATATATTGTGAACCCAACCTTAACATAATGGTTGGGTTTGCATTATTTTGAGTTGAAATAATCCAGTATTTTTTTGTTTTTTTACACCTGTCCACTAGTTTCAAATGTCCCTTCTAAAAAATTTGTGTGATTTTTCAGTGTTCACAATGTAAATTCATTCATTTTTAAAATTTCATCCATTTGTCTGAAATTCGGGACTACTATATGTAAAAATACGCGTGAAAAGTAATCCAAAAGTAGTAAGAATAGATTACCCAAATATGGAATCCAGACCATATCAACTGACCTGGGTAGATCATTTGTAGTCATTACCAGACTATGATTCATTATCTATACCAAGGGCTGTATTAAAGAGGAAGAGTATAATTGAAGAGTTATAGTATTTAATAAATTAAAACTAGTTTTAAAAAAAATTCAGAAGTTCTATATTTTACATGGAGTATTGAAGAGCACAATTGCAAAAAACAAGATTTCTGAAAAACCCAAAAAAGAGAGCATTGTGATTATGTAGTCTGTGCAAATAAACTCTTCTATTATTCCCTAATTGGAAAGTATAACACAAATGTAACTGTTCTCACTCCTTCGGTCTGCACTAGCCGATCCCTCTCTGAACTGTGAGTGCCATTTCCCATATGCTTGCAACTCCTTTTCAACTTTTAAGTAGGTGCCAGGTTTGATTTATTGTTGTTTGATTTGTCACTGCCCTCTAGTGTCGAGCCCACTTATAAATCGGTAGCAGTACCTGATTAGTGTTTCTCAATGTTTTTCTTGGAGACTTACCAGTACTAACACAGCTCATTTTAGATATATCACTAATTTGACACACCCAATTGAGTTCATTTATTGCCCAGCAACTACAAATGAGTTGGATTATCTGTGAGATACAGGAGACACATTGTGATGAAGAATATTCACAAGGTATGATATTGCTCAGTCTGTCTTGTATTTTAGATGTTTAGGCAAGACATTTACATATTTATGGGTATAGTAGCCTTTGTGGAATAAACTATTTGAGCTGATAGTGGGATTATATCAAACTAATGTGCAGTGATTGTGAGATCAGGCTGCATATGGACACACCAACTCTTCATTTTTCCTTGAAATTATGTATGCTGCCTTTCAGAAGTTTGACATTTGTTTTTGCTTACAGAGACTGCATTTATTTTATTTTGAAAAAAAAAAAAAACATGTAACAGTGTAATATTTGATAAAAAACCTTTAATTCAAATGATTGTTCAAATATTATTTTAAAACCAAATTTTTAGCATGATATCATAATCCATCATAAATCATTCTAATATGCTGATTTCCACTCATTTCTAAATGTTATTTACACTCTTAAAAAAGGTTCCAAAAGTGCCCTTACCGTTACACCAATGTTGGTGGGTTCTTTGCCCTCAATTAGCTTATATATCGACTCCAGTGCTTCTTCTTTGCTTTGACCTTTGAACCTCTTTGGGGCCAATTCTTCTAGAGCTTTCTGGAACTCCTCATATGTTATGACCCGAGATGTCTTTGCTCTGAATCATAAGGTATATGGGGATTTTCAATATCTTGTGTACATTTCCAGTACAGTGCATAATATATATATATATATATATATATATATATATATATATATATATATATATATATATATATATATATATATATATATATATATATATATATGTATATACATTTTGTGTATTTACCCAGCAGGCACAGGACATCAACATGCTGTCAGATTGACGTTGTACTCCAATGTCGTGGAGTTGCATTTTGCATTTTGTTTGGAAAGGAAAACTGTGTTGATATCAGAACTAGACCTGCCACAATTTCTTCTTTTTGTTGTACGATATATTGCACCAAAATATTTAGCAATAAGCTATATTATTGTCATTTTAAGACTATTTATGCCACTCATTATATAATGTCAGAATATAATATCATCACAATGCAAGTACACTCTTCCAAAGAACACATATTTTTTTATTCTTAAGAATAGTTAATTTAATTAAAGTAATTTTAACAACTTTATAATTAGGCATTGGAATTTGGCAATGTGAAAACATATATCCTTGACTATTAAATAATAATAAATGTTAACAAAAAAGTAACAGAGGCAGTGAAATCTGCTACTAGATCTATTTTCAGTTGTCAGACATCCACATGAAAATATATTAAAGTAATTTATAGTAAATACTAGTGTTTTAAATCATAATGACATAGAGATGTTGCTCAATCAGCTAAATTGTTGCTAGAATTGGTTTTTATGTATGGGTGATATATATTGCATCACCAAAAATGATTGAGGTCATGTCCATGTGTTGTGCGATAAGTTGATCTATTGATTATTATGACCAGCCTAATCAGAACCCAATGTCAAACCATCCTCAATGTCCAACGTCCAACCTACTGTAAAATTAACCAAATATCAGCATCTAATGATGTTACATGGTGACGTTGTATGGACGTTACCAATATGCTGTCTATCAGATGTTAGATTTTGGTTGCAATACTTAACGAATAACTGCCAGTATTTGATGTCAATATCATGTTGCTTTAAGATGTTGGCTTGACGTTGGCTTTTGGTCACCTGACGTCACAACCAAAATCTAACCTAATATTAATGTCTTATGACGTTGTGTGCCAGCTGGGTGTATTTGCACAATTATAAATATTTAAAAAAAAATGTCTTCCCCAAAAAATGCAAAACTCACTTGACTTTTGTGAAGACGATATCTACATCAGTGCTGGTGACGTTCTTGCCATCGATGACTTTGCAATCTTTGCACAGTTTAGCCCAGTTTTTCCCATTCAGCTCCTTGCCAGTGGCTTTGGTGTCACCATGAACAGCAAATTTCTTGAAGGAGTTAAGAAGCTGGTCCATGTCTGTGCTTTCTGCCATGTTGGGTATTCTGCAAAAACGAATAGTAAGACCATGACCTAATGGAACCCTTTCTCTAGAAAAAAGAAGTGTGTTAGCTGACCATATAAGTCTGCAATAGGCACAATAAACAGACATTTCTTAAGTCTTAACTTGAAAAGATGAAAGAGAAGGAAAATTACTGGGGTACTCATTAGAAAGGGAAGGGGGGAGGGGGTTGATTACATAGTATTATCTTTTCATAGGAATCTCAGATGTGTACTATACAATCTACAAATAACATACACACACACACACATCGCTCCAGTTGTACTGATGAGTTTCAGACCTCAACCTAAGACTTTATGTTCTGATTTAATGATTCTGACTAATTAAAGTTGTTTGCATTATCTAGATTGTCCTGTGATTTTGACTTTGAGATATTTCACTAATGTCTTCTTTGTTTGAATGTTTTGGCAAGTGTTTTCACCAAGTTACCCTCTTTTCCATTGCAGTCTGAATGAGTTGAATGAATGAAAACACCAATTAAATAACAAGCCAAAAGTAACACATTAGGTGTGTGTGTGTGTGTGTGTGTGTGTGTGTGTGTGTGTGTGTGTGTGTGTGTGTGTGTGTGTGTGTGTGTGTGTGTGTGTGTGGAATGACAGAGAATGGCGTAGAATTTAGAGGCCATTAGGATTGAGTTAATGAGGTGCTTATCAGCACTCTGCAGACTGCTAATTATTTACTAAAGAGTTCTACTCCACACAAAACACAGTGATGCTAGAATGTCCTATCTTTCCTTCCTGCATTCATTCATAGTATATTGCTGCTTTTTTCTTCATGTGGGATTAACAGAAAACAACACAAGCTTCTAAATGCGAACATAGTGTCTACACTTGATGAAGCTTGAAACAAATTAAGCTGTTATAATCAGTGATCTTGTCTATAGGGTGCAAAGCAACAATAAATCTCCAACACCAAAGCTGGCATCTCTGATGACTGTGCGTCCACTGTTAAAGAGCCCTTATTATGGATTTTCTAAAATGACCTCCCATGCAGTGTGTAGCACAGCTCTAAGTGAAGTGAAGTATCTAGCTAAAGCTTAAATCTGAAAGTGCACTGTGTTTAAACTATTGATTCATCTATCAAAGAGTCGATTCATAGTGGATCGCCACTGTAACGAGTCATTAGCCGTGTCGGCGTGACGTTGATATGGAACTCAAGCCTAGCCCATTTGTAGTGTGCATGCGCAGACCTGGTGAAATTGAAGCCCCAGCCCCGCCCACAAACACTGTATAAAGAAAAAGTAGAAGACAAACACTGTAGCAGATCCTGGCTGAATCATGTTGTGAAGATGCTGTGCTCTGAAGTGTGAGGGACAGTTAGTGTTATTTTTTTTACCCAACGATGAGGGTGAAGAGTCAGTGGTTGAGCTGTATTTCTGCAAAAATACCTCAGCATTATAGCCTCAGCCTTGTGCTGTTTTCGTCATTTTTCTGACAAGTTCTTCGGCAATCTATATGCTTACAATGGGGTGGCGACTCTTGGGTTTAACAGACTGTACCAAAATGCTGAGGACCAGGGTTGGGGGGGGGGGTGCATTGTTGGAGTGAATTTAGGTGAGTTTTCTGGGAGAAATAACAAAACAGGAGGGTGGCGGGAGATGGGTCTGAAATACAGAACACCCGGGAAAAACAGGAGCGTTGGCAGGTATGCTCACACATACACTCTACATACACTCTGCATTCTGACTACTTTAAAATTGTTGATAAGCCGTGGAGGGCATTTCGCTCTGTCTCGCGCTGAACGCCGTCGATCATTTACAACAGACTGGGTCATCGGACCAATCAGCTCAGATTACCATTGTGCAATTGTGGTTTGGGAACAAATGATTAGCTAAACGAATCATATGGAAGTCTTGGGATAATTAGGTAAAATAAATGCAAATTACAAGACAATAAAAGTGTTTTTGACCTTGCATGCATATCAGACTGTTGATGGAGACCAAAACCAAAATATGACGCTTTTTAATGCATAATAGGGGCTCTTTAAAAATAAAAAATCAGAGGTGTGCTTTTGCAGCACTGTAAAAGGGGAACCATTCTGGGCTCCAGAAAGAACCTTTTAGTGAACATATCTTAAAGAGTACCTTTTTTTTCTTAGTGTGAAGAACATTTTATTAATTATTTAACTTTTTGAGGATGAACAGTTTCTATGGATGTTTAAGGTACTTCATGGAACCACAAAATAAACTTTATTTGAGAAACAACCCTATTAACTTTAGTTTTACAAAAAAAATAAAGTTATTAGTTTTATTAAATATTCAAGTTTATTTAAATATTCTAGTTTTTGGTAGTTAAACTAAGGTAAATAATGATTTACAGTAATTATTTTTTATTATCATAAGTTTCATTTTATATTAAAGTGTTAGAATAACTGAATAATTATCTAACCTTGTGTTCATGGGTTACTGTTTAGAAAGTAAGACATTCTAAATGATCTCTTCATTCGCATTTGACTAATGCCATAGAATTTCAAATAGAGATTTTATTTAAAGCTCAAACAGCAATCAAAATGTCTGCTGAATCATATAATCAAAGCTCCATACAGCTCTAGAAATGAGAAAAGAATGACTTTCCATCTCTCACTTGTTGGGATAGTGGAAAGACAGCTTCACCTGATGCCTTTTTTTAACTGCCTCTTTCACTACTACTGACACGAAAGACAAATGGATTCACATCTATCACTTTGTGGCATCTGGTGTAGACAGCTTTTGCTGTGGCCCAACAACTGTTACGTCTGTAGTGGGCACAGGCAACTTTCAGTGATGCCTTCTTATTTATAAAGTCTACTGTACAGAGAAAAGCACAGTAGCAACATACAGAATTCTTTTAATTTCGAGTTTGAGTTTCGTCTGTTGTGAAGAGTTTTGGTATAGCCATTGACTTGTGACATTCTTAATCAATGGCTACTCTCAGCTGTTTGGCAACCAACATTCTTCAAGATATCTCATATGTTCAACAACAAAAAAGCAAGTCATACAGGTTTGTAAGTACTTGAAAGTGATTACATTTTAATTTTAGGATGAGCTATCTCTGATATATGCAGGTCACTGTACAGGCAAAAGTAAAATAACAAATCTAAATAAGACAGTTGAACCTAGTGATGTAATATACACCAATGCTTTGCCTCTGTATTTGCAGCTGCATCTGTTTAAAGCTCAGTACTTCTGTGGATCTGTTTGGATAACATGGAATTTCAGAAGTGAGGCCGATTCTGGGCTTTCTCAGTGTGTCTGCACAGTTCAGCCATTGTTAATGGAGGCGAGAGTAGGTGTGTGGATGGTCTGATGTGTCTGGGAGTTATTGTGGAATGTTTCAGATGGATGTCAGAAGTTTGGCAGCCGATGGCCTCATAGAGAGGCGATGAGTATACAGCAGCAGTGGGTGGGCTTGCCCTGGCTTCAACTCCAACTCCTTCAGCCATCTGTAGTTTCCTCTCAACTCACTCACAATGACTGACGTGTTGCGTTTAGTAGTGTCCAATGCGAATATAGGCTTATCTCATCAATTACATTATTATAATTCATAATATCTGTTTTTGATAATAATATTTCTAAAAATACAATGTAAATTCATTCATTCATTTTCTTTTCAGCTTAGTCCCTTTATTAATCAGGGGTCACCACAGCGGAATGAACCGCCAACGTATCCAGCAAATGTTTTACCCAACTAAACACTGGGAAACACCCATACCCATCACACACATAATCGACAGCCAGTCTAGCTCATTCAATTCACCCATATCACTTGTCTTTGGACTGTGGGGAAAACTGGAGCACCCAGAGGAAACCCACACAAACATGAGGAGAACATGAAAACTCCATACTGAAAGGGCAACTGACCCAGCCAGGGCTCAAACCAGCAACCTTCTTGTTGTGAGGTGATCGTGCTGCCAACTGCCCCACCATGAAACCCTATGCAATGTACATATGTCTAATGGCAAAGCTGAATTTTCCTACTCAGAACTCATTCTATCATGCAGATTTTTATCAATCATTCATTCATTCATTCATTCATTCATTTTCTTTTAGGCTTAGTCCCTTTATTTATTTGGGGTCGCCACAACAGAATGAACCGCCAACTTATACAGCATATGTTTTTATGCAGTGGATGCCCTTCCAGCTGCAACCCATCTCTGGGAAACATCCATACACACTCATTCACACTCACACTACGGACAATTTAGCCTACCCAATTCACCTGTGCCGCATGTCTTTGGACTGTGGGGGAAACCGGAGCATCCGGAGGAAACCCACGTGAACGCAGGGAGAACATAGAAACTCCACACAGAAACGCCAACTGACTCAGCCGATGCTCGAACCAGCGACCTGTGAGGCGACAGCACTACCTTCTGCGCCAATGCGTTGCACGTTTTTTTATTATATATTGTATAAATATTTATTATACATAATTTTTTATTCTATATATATTATTTTATTTATTCATTTTTATTATTATAAATTTTAAAGAAAATATTCACCTTTTTGCTCAATTCAATCTATTCAGTCTTTTTGTCTCGAGACTTCTAGTCTCATTCACTTCCAATCATTTTTAGAATTTAAAAATAGCTTGTTCTGCTGCTTGATGTAGCAAACTGATGTTTTCTTATTATAATATTCTACTTTGTCTGTATAGTCATGAACACACTTGCTCGTAGAGTAATTACTTTGAATGTTTTCTGTTTTATTATTCTTAGGTATTTCTCCAATAGACAACTCAATCGGAAAACAACCGCAAAAACGAGTGGTCAGATTAAAAAAATTGCATTTATTTGAAATAGTAGGTTGTTATGTATGTCACATTCCTTTTACATACTTAAAAGAACCATTTTTTTAATTCCCAGAACACCATTTTAGGTAAAAGGGCTTCAAACTAACGTTTTTTCCAAAGTGTGAATAACCTTTTCATAATCTAAAGAATGACGTTTCCACTATAAAACAGATTATTTTGTGGAATTGAAAGTTTCTATGGATTTAAAAAGTTGTTTAAGGAATCATCAATGCCAATAAAAAAACATTATTTTTAAGAGCATGCACATTCACAACCTTATACTGACTGCAATGTTTGAAAAGAAGTGTGTGTGTGTGTTTATTTTAAAATTATTTATGACTTGTTAATTATAATTAATGCAGAATACTCATGCAATGTTGTAATCATCACTTGGTGGTCAAACAATTCCAGTCATTGAATCACTGATGTGATCTCATGTTATGCGTTGTCATGCTTAACATGTTTCATGTGTGTGCCACTGTATATATTTCCCAAAATATAGAGCATGTGGGATCATGTGTGAGCTGCTGCTGTGGTTATTCCCACACAGGCGGGCGAATAAAGACATCATTGTGAGTTTGAACCTCACCCATTTAACACACACACACAATCAGCCGTCCACATAAACACACACTGCCCAGCTCCCAAGAGATCCCCTCACTCAGGACAAGACTTAGTGGAAGTGTCCATGGAAACCATTGTATTAAAATAGGAAACAGAGACACACTTACCCACCCATCCATACAAAGCACACAAACACACAGTAAATGCATCCAAATAACAAAGGCATGTCCTGAAGTCTTTATGAGCAGATCATAATCTCCATAATTTTCAGCCCTAGAGTTTTATAGCTTGTCTTTTTCTGTGGTCTTGCCCGCAGGAGACCTTTATTCCTCACACAACACGTTTCTTCACACGTATTCCCTATTCCATACTCAAGTATAATAGATTAAGTATGCGATAATCCATCTCACGACCCATAAAACACTGATATGCATGATAGACAATTTAATGAGTGTTTACTTTCTGATCAGACAGACAGCAATCCTATAATTAGCTTGATGATGTCAACAATGTTTTGTTCAACTTTTAGATCATGAATAGCATCCTTGCGTGCCAATTTGCCACTGGGAAAACATCATGCAATACTGTATATATAGAGAGAGAGCCTGCATATAATTGCAATCTAAATCATTTTAGTCAGTGGCAGTTGCAATTATCCAAAGTGAACATGATTTCATCTTCTGGCATTTGATGGCCTTTAGTCACTGCAGATGTTGCAGTCAGAACATCTTACTACTGTTAATTGAAAACAGCAGATTTTGAACAACCTTTTTAAGGTTCATTTTAGCATGTTTTTCATATATTAATGAGCAAAACAAATAGCAACTGTTTTAAGTAGTAGTGCTCAATACTCTATTCAACATCTCATGTATCAGGGAATTAATACAAGGGCTTCAAGCATCAAATTTGTATGTACTGTATGCTGGGGGGCAGAATCTGAAACATATCATCTTGCCTTGAATTAATATCATGTTATGTTTGTTATGTATAATTTATGTACCAATATATTATGATTTATTTAAAAATAGGCAACAGTTCATGGAAATTGGCAACCATAAATCATATCTAAATATAAATTATGGAATACTACAAGGTCCAATATTGTTTATAATTTACATTAATGAAATGTGTAAGACATCAGAATTGTTTGTTTATTTTATATGAAGTTGATACAAGTATCTTTTGTTCTGTGGATAATTTACCAAAACTTCAAGTGTTCACATTTAGCTGATGATTGATTATAAAGCTTGTTTGGCATGCTGTCCCAGGAGAGAGTCCTGAACTCATAAAATCCTCGAGCCCAGGGCTCCGTCCTGTTTGCAAGGGGAGAGGGGAGTTTGAGCTTAGGTTGATCTTGACAACTCCCCTGCTGTTGTAGCTAATGAACGGATAGTGATTGTTCTTAAGAGATAACTGCTTACTAGGAGCATGTCTATGTTGCTGATTTGGGCAAGTCAATTAACTTAAGTTGCATGATTTTGGACGGTGAGAGGAAAAGGAGGAACCCATTTGAGCACGGGGAGAATGCCCAGAAACATTGACTGGCTTGGTAAGGACTAGAACCAGTGGCGTTCTTGCTGTGAGGCAACAGTGCTAACCACTGGCCACCCATCTAGGAAAGGAGGAGGAGTAGGGGTGGAAGACGGGATTTTTCAAAACGAAGACGGCTGTTATATGGAACTTAGGGTTTTTATAGTGGATTCATCTGATTGGTAAATCATAAATTGAATAATGCGAGACCAGCCGCAAGCAATCAGAAGCATGTGATCCTCTCGAAATTAGTTTATAAATAAACTTCACTTATGGAGTTGATTAAAACAGAAATTAATAAATTGAAATTGTGGTTTGACGTGAACAAATTGTCCTTAAATATAAGTAAAACAAAGGTTATGTTATTTGCAAAGTTAAAAAAGTAATATAGATTTAAAAATCGATAATAAAGTTATAGAAAGAGTATATGCAATTAAGTGTCTTGGTGTTGTATTGTATCATAAAATTAGTTGGAAACTGCAAATACATAATGTAATATCAAAATTAGTAAAAAAAAATTCTAGCAATAGTGTATAAAGCAAGATTTATCCTGGACAATAAATCATTGTTTATATTATTTAACACACTTGTGTTGCCATATATAAGTTATTGTGTTCTAATTTGAGAAAATACTTATAAATCTAACTTACGATCCTCATGTACAATGCAGAAAAAAGTCATTCGACTGATAGAAAATGTGGGGTATTTGGAACATACAAAATCCTTTATTTTTTTAAATTGAAGATACTTAAGTTCAATGATTTTTAAAATTAAAAACATTTATGTTTAAAGCTTGGAATAAATTACTTCTAAAATGCATACAAAAGTTTTTTGAAATAAGACAAGGGGGATATAATCTGAGAGAAGAACAAAATCTTAGGAGGTTAAAAACATGGACAACTTTTTGTGTATGTCTGTATGTGGTGCGAAATTATGGAACAGTCTAGAAGAGAGGTGCAAAATCAAAAACATGTCATCTTGCCTTGAAATAATACTATGTTATGTTTGTTATGTATAATTTCGCAGTTGCTTTGCACTCTGCTGTGTACCGATGCCCATTTTTATGTGTAAACCACAGCTGCTATGATGCAATGCATGGCATATTATGAGAATATATTAAGTAAGAGTACTGTATGTGTATTGCGTATGACAAATAAGATGAGTGCATGTGTGCAAGTTCATAAGTGGATTGCATGGCATATTATGGGACTATATGATGTTATGTGTGCTTGCATATGACAAATATTATGAATGCATGTGTAATATGCAAACTGACTGCATGCTATACTATTGATCTATGTGATGTTATGTGTGCATGCAATGCATATCAAATAAGACATTATTTGCAGTTCATCATATGCAGTGTATGGTATATTAGTATGGATCTATATAATGTTATGTGTGCATGCTTATATAAGATGAGTTGATGGATGAGTTGATGGATGCATGTTGCATACTGTATGATGATCATTCTATCATATTAATATTAGTGAAATCACCCTTACCTGTGTTTCTGGCTTCCAGCTGCTGGCAATCCACACACATGCACACACACTCCCAGGTCTGTCCAACTTCTGTCCCGTCCTGCTCCCTTTCTCTCTCTCTTTTTCTCTGTCTCTTCTGTTGCTCCCTTCTGAAATGGGCTTTAAAAGGCTGAGGGCTTGTTATCATCTGTTTATTCCTGTATCCATGGAGACGTCCTGTTTAACATCAAGGGATGGCAATAAAAGAGAGAGAGAGAAAGAGAGAGAGAGAGAGAGAGAGAGAGAGAGAGAGAGAGAGAGAGAGAGAGAGAGAGTTTGTGTGTGAAAGAGAAAGAGAGAAAGAAAGAGAGCCTACTCAAGTTGTAGTGACCAGGGTCATTTATCAGTCGGGGTGAACTGGAGGCTTGAGCATAGCAATATATATTTGAAAAAGGCAGGAAAAGACTTGAGTGCTGTCCAGGGTGGCGCATTTGTTTTATTTGTGGTTTGTGTTTATCCTCTGTTTGGCTGTGTTGTGTTTGTTTGTAAATGCTACTCATTCAACAGTGTGAGTGTGTAAGGAGAGAGCTACAGTAGGAATGTGATTCATCCAGCACCGCATGAATGTGTTAGTGTGTGCGTGTTAGAATGCTCATCCACTACTGCCTGTTTGTGTGTTTGTCCAGGCTTAGCAACACTTTGGAAGCTGATTTGTCCCTAGAAGTGCTGACGCCAAATCTGACTAACCACGGCTTGAGGATGGAAAATCCTCATTTGCAAATTGATATAAAGTAAGCCTTCATAAAATATAGCAAGCAGCTCTTTTAAAAAGTAGCAGCAGATATTTTCTGCTCTATTGTGATCATAGAAGCCAAAATGTCATAGATATGGCTGTTGTCATCTTGTGCAGTATTGATGGTGAGCAGGATCCGCCCAAATTCCTGCAGACTCACCCAACCGCAACACACATTCATAATGCCACACCCCCATTTTTTAGCAGGACATGAATACAAGCTAAAAACAATACAAGATTATAACCAAAAGAGCTATAAAATAATAATATTAAATTTAAAAATGCAAATTAACTTCTAAGGAAATGAACATGTGAATCTACACCACAACTGCCTGTTTGGGAAAATGTATTTAAATAGTTTTTTTTCCTTTTTTTTGCTTCACATGTCATTTGTTTACATTAAGAGGGTGTTTTTTAGCTTATTTTATTCATATTTTTTCTGTAATAACTTTATCAATAATAAATTATTAAATCAGTTGTAAAACGGCCTTGAAGTTAAAAGGCTAAAACTAAATAAATAAACAGTTTTTAAAACTGTATTGTACAGTGGTCAAGAGAGATTAATGTGCTGCAGTTTATAAAAACACATGCAATTACAAAAAACACCAGCAAATTAACAAAAGACCTTCATCCGTTTGACAGCACACCTGCTGCAAATCCTCACAATGCATACATATTTTAAAAAATTGCACTGCATTTTTCCACAACACAAAAAGAACGGAACGCAGTGGAAATGTTTCAAGGAGACACAAAAAAAGTGACGGACGTCGCTGTGCCGTGACTAGCCACATAGCAAAATATCTCTGGCCCAGCTCTCGCGAGAGGGGTCTGGATGCAGACCTGGTGCAGTGCAATCTGAATTGCATCCAATGCTTTTTAACGGGCTTACCTAACCCCAACCCTAACCCTACCCGTCACAGTGACCTCACTCACTCCATTGAGTGCATTGTGTCTGACATTGCATCGCTAAGTGATGCAATATCAGCTTGCATCATAAAGGCTGCATCCAGATACTATTGGCTCTGGCCCACACAATTACAGTACAAGTCTGACATCCAGACAAGGGCCAAACATGGACTATATCTGGGCCAAGTCTCAGCCAAGTTTATAACCCATAACTGGGCCTGAACTGGGCCAGATATGTTTGTGTCACTACTGAAGTAAAATTGATAAACCAATGATTCACAGCGCTTTATGCATGCTATGGGCGTTTTTTTTTTCTCGAGGCAACCTGATTGGTAGAATTTTTTTCTTCATTTGAAAAAAATAAAAATGTATTTTAAATAGGGGTCAAGATAAGCCAAACGTACATGACCCACATATAAATTATTAACATCTTGGCCAAATACTACATTTTACATCTGATCCAAGTATTGTGTGCCACTTTAAAGACGGTGCCGCCTACACTAAACCAGGGTCATGTTTGCCCCACATGCTGTATGCCAGTGCCGGACAAATGCCTGCAGTGCCATATTTATGCCAAATCTTAGCCAGAATTCTTTGCTACCTGGGTTGCTCAGTGAATTTGTAGATGATCTTTGAAAGATAATTTTTTTATTTGTTTATTTTAACATCCCAATTATCTTGTCTTTGGTATTTATTAGCTTAAATAACCATAACCTAAGTAGTCAGGTTCGTCATGTTTTAGGATCTCCTTAAAACATTTCCGTTGTGTTGTGAGAAAATGCAGTGCAATTTCATAAAATCTTTGCGTTGTGAGAAAATGCTGCATGTTTTATTAAGGGTTTAGCACGTTTTTTAAAAGCGTTTTTGCGTTGTGATGATTTGCAGCACGTGTGCATGTGTTTTCTCAAATTGCAGCACATTAAGCTCTCTCGGCTGCCGTAGTTCATTAATTAATTTTCCTTTCAGCTTTATCCCTTTATTAATCAGGCAGAATGAACTCCCAACTTATCCACCATATGTTTTAAGCAGCCGATGCCCTTCCAGCTACAAGCCAGCACATGGGAAACACCCGCACACTTTTGCACACATTTTACAGCCAATTTAGCTTACCCAATTCACCTACACCACATGTCTTTGGACTGTGGGGAAAACCGGAGCACCTGGAAGAAACCCATGCCAACACAGGGAGAACATGCAAACTCCACACAGAAATGCCAACTGACCCAGCCAGGGCTCAAACCAGTGACCTTCTTGCTGTGAGGCAATTGTGCTACCCACTGCACCACCGTGCTGCCCCTGGCCATCATAGTATTGCATCAAAAGTAAAGAATTCAGTATGACCAAACTTTGATTTGACATACTGTATACATGCAACAAAATAATTGGTTAATAAAAGGATTGACGGCTTAGACTGAAATACCTTTATCTCTAAATGACAGAGCTTGATACCAACAAAATTACAATGGGTTTGTAAAGAGTGCGTTAAAACTTTTCATTTATCCATTCGAGACATGTAAACACATAATCAGATTGGAAGTTGTGCACATGTGCAATGACGCAGAACGTTATAATATTTAGATAAATGTTAAGACATTTTAAACTAAAAAAAGCAGTCTAATTGGCTAGAATGCACATCCTGAAACATACAGTATGCCAGAAGATGAAATAATGACAAATACACACATCACCCAGACACTTTATATAGCATTCATGTAAACACTACAGTGTGTTTGGATTCATCAATCAGAATGATTCAAGTCTGACTAAAACAAAAAGTGTCTGTAAACAAAGCCATCGACTCACAATCTAAAACAGATTGTAAAATTGTTTATAAAGAATTTTATTTTGATCACAGCTTGTCTTGAAGGGGAGGATATGTCTGATTTTTAAAGCCCTCGGATACTACGTAGAGAGCTTTTGATTGGTCAAAAGATTCATTGGTCTGTGACATCAAAATAATCATTGATCCATTTAGGTGGAAGTGAAAAAACTGCAAACTTTGGATGTTTATTTATTTTCCTGATGCAATTTTTCTTACTGTTTTGGAGCGGTGTAGATATCCTTAAGACTAACATACTTATACTAACATCTAAAAAAACTTTCACAAGGACACAGGGCTATACTTGGTTCGGATTCGTCAATAGCAGCATTGTAAAAAAACCCCACCAGTGCTCACAGCATGCTCATGAATATTTTATGTTAATGTATTAATTAATTTATTTAGCTAGCCACGTAATAAGTGGAAAAGTGTTTAATCAGATACTTAGAATATACCTTTCAGAGTGATTTGAGATCCCTGTTCGAGGTAGTTTTACGGTAACTGACTGCTGCAGGTGCAGATCAATGTCACTTTTAAGATGGCCAGACGGATCTATTTTTACTATTTCTCTCTGCATGCTGCACTTCTCGTTCTGTCTTTCCTTCTTGTTTGGCACTTCTCCTTCATCCACTGAGTTAATATTTTCCATGGTTGCCCTCGCTGTCTGTCACTTTCCTCTTTTTGTCGGAAGAACAGGACATATAAAATCCAAAATCACAATTCAGCAACAGCCTGCACAGCCAAATGTGCTTGAGAAGAGTCTGTTTTGCACTTTTTCTGGGAACTTTTTTTGTTTTAAACCACATTTTGACTTTTGAAATTACTTTTGTTGTGAGTGATACATAACGCAGGACTATATTTGCAACACAATCTCACGCCAATTCGTAACTTTTTCATTTAGTGGCTAATTCGTATGAATTCGTACGATCTAATTCGTACAATTTAGTACGATTTGCTTATCCCCCAATGACGGTTGGGGTTAGGGGTGGGGTCAGGTGCCACGCCTCCTTTTAAAAATCGTACCATTTCGTACGACTGAACTCGTACGAATTATCCACTAAACTGACAAAACGTAAAATACTTATGTTTTCTTGTGAGATCAGGCTGATATTTGAGCCTTTTAAACTGGTTTTTACAAGCTTTAAGCTTTAATGCAAAAATATTCATGACAAATAACATGCAACAAAAGTTTGCACGAGCTGAATAATTCTGAATAATGGATAATTCAGGCTCTTACAAACAGCAGAGTGATGGAGTATTCGCCTTGCCAGTTCTATTATGGTACATTAGTCTGATCAAATTGCCCTTCTAACAAACGTTTGCCAAATGTAGATTTGAAGTCCGTGCACAAAGAGCACTTTTGTTCATTTGCTGAATCTCAGTGCTGAAAGACATACTGTTTCTTCTCAATGATTAGCTTTACATTCAGATTTTTGCAGAGAGGTTTGTTTTAACTGCTCTGCATTTATCTTTCCACAGCTGCACCGCTGGGATTCTTAAAGCCCTGACATCTCATCTTACGGCTTCTATATTTGACAGTATAATACAATAATAAATATGTGATTTCATATAAAATAGCTATGTTAAATTAAATCATAATAAACAAAATGTATAATCATGTTAAATTAATTACCAAAA